GTAAACCTATAGTCCAGTATAGAGTCTATTTATTTCTCGATTCTATCAATAAAAATCAATAATATCAGCGGACTGTGTTGATATCAACGTTGAACTTTTGAATGTGTCAATGTGTGTTTCCCTGATACGAAGCTACAGATAACAATGGAGATACAGTACAATATGTAATTCACTTTTACYTTACAAGCATTTTAAACACGAATATCCTTCCAATTCGCTAGAGAGGTCTTGCTGTTATGTTTCCAACCCCGCGATTCTTCGATCGACTTGGCGCCAAAATCGTAGCGTGAAGATTTTCTGTCCATTTGGAGCAACGGCGGGTGTGAAACTTCAARATATTGTAGAAAATATGCTTCTTAAATTTGCTGCATTATGTTTCGTATAATCTAAGGGAAATCTTCGCCGTGTTTGGACGGAATGTAACGTTTACAGCTACACTTGGGTTTATTGATCGTTAGTTGATCCATTATTATTAACTGGCATCCTGGATTTGAGCTATGACCCTCATCTGTTATTTGTCACGCCTGTCAAATCGTTTGACTTTGGTAGCTTGGATTACAGTGGGTCAAGACGTATTATCCCTTATTCGTAACGTTTAACCCCTTCGTTCCTGACGTATGACCCTTTCTTCGTGTTGGGGTAAAACGTATTCCCCATTAGATCGAAGTGTCAGATACTGGTTGAGATAGTCTATCATTCAATCCAGCCGAATATATAAACATTAACAAATGTCATGAAATGATTTGATTTGTATTAAAAGAAACGTAGATTTCTAGAAAATGATTTTATTGATAATTCATCGTTATTAGATACTTAATGCTTTATTCCGCGAGTAAAGTCTTGTTATTTGATATAGATTCCGGAAATTGCGCTTACGCGTACGAGTATAAATGAACTGCTTTTGCCGTTTGTTAACCATAATTCGCTTGTACAACTCACTGTCAAGCCACGAGTTCTTCAACTTCTACTTTGTCTTTTAACTAATACTTTAGTGTTGACAGTGTGTCAGTCATCTGTTAATTGATTCTTCAGTTAACGTCATGACTGAGGTTGTAGATAAAAAATGGTATTTGAAGTACGTGGAAGACAAAGGCGTTTTCGTCAAGATTGGGGACGCAAGATTTCAAACAAAGACTTTTGCTAACGTTTTCCTGCAATCATTGAACAAAAACACGCATTCCATAACATTAAAAAAATCAAAAACACTTCGTTGTCAAACAGTTAGTTAGCGCACACAATAGYCGCGTGCAATTCTAAAGCGTAATCGATCAAAGACTGACTAAAACACAAATGCTGAATAATAGAGAAGTTTCTTCGGTTTGCCCTTTTCATGAAATTATGCTTTTTTGTGTGTTAGATATGTTTTAAAGTACCAACCTCGCCAAGTGGAAAAGCCCAAG